GACTATAAAATAATTTTACTTACTAGTACGTAGGTACATAATGTGTGTCTTTTTAATGGATAAGTATTTCCTTTGATCTCACGAAAAAAAAGGTGTTTGGATGAATAAATAAAGCAAATAGAGTAACGGAAAGTTATTGAGACGAGTGAAATAGGGAGTTACATGCGGTTCTGAATGAATCATGATACGATAGGTACCTACCTACTTACGCTTGTGTTAAAACTTCGGTGCATGTTTGTTTTGTTACTTTGCATAATTCAAAAAAAAGAAAATTCTACTTAAAGACGTGGTATTTTATTATTAATAATATATCTTTATTATCTGTGTGTATGAATAATACTAAAAAAAATTTGTTACCGTCTGTGTGTCATTAGACAGTTTTCGAAATTTTCACAAAGTGTTTCTGCTGCTACTATAACAACATATACCACTAAAAACTGGTTTTATTTTCTCGGTATTAACAACAACAGCTAGACTCATATATAATATTTAGATGTTTGAGGGTTGTGATTTTAAAACATTCGTAGTCAGCTGTTCAGCTTTTTAATAATTAATTAATTGGTGACCAAAGAATTTTTGTTTTGAGTTGTTGCGAGTTGTAGGTTATAGGTTAGGTAATTTATAGAGACGTTAATTAGCTGAGATAAAAAGTTACTTACTCGTCAGCTGTTTCTTGCATTCTAGTTGAGTAGGTAGGTGTTGGAGTTTCTAAGGATTGGAGTTTTGTAACGCGTATGGAGAAAGCACATTTATTTTATTTTATAGAAGGATTTTTTTCGGTCGCTAATTTATAAGCCCGATTGGTTTTTCAAACAAAAAAATGTTTTTTAATTAAATCTACCAATCAAAAAACAACACGCATTTTTATTGAACAATTCCTATTCAATATACAAAGTATTTCATTTATTTATATAAAAAGGATATTTACAATCACAAATCTAAATAGAAACAGAAAGTAGGCAAATATAATTAAAATGCTGGAGACGGGCAGCCCTAACGCATGTTTAAGTACCGCGCGGCTGTAGGCATTTATTTCTATCATGCGGCCGAGTTACAATACTGTATTATAATTGTACCGTGCCATTGTGGTGTTCGGACTAGTCGCAGTAGCATAAGTAAATAAGCATTGAGACAAAGCTACCTCATTTTGAATACACTTTGCACATCTAGTAAAAGTATATTATTTTAAATGCACCGTTGCATAGTTGCGAAACCAAATACCTACTAGCGTAATATCCTTCTCCATGAAAAACTTATCCAATACTTAAAAGCTTGATTTGTAGCTCCTACACTGTACGCTGTACACTACGCTGTACACTGTGTCGCGGTCCTATTTTTTACAGTATCTGAAATCTTGTTATTTTATGTATTTTCAATTGTAAATAATTGTGTGCGTATATGTGTATAAAACATGAGATAGTGTTTATTTATTTTAACAAAAATTGTACAGCATACGTTTGTGTAATACATATTATATCGTATCAATATAATATATTAGTTTTGTGCATTGAAAGGCTCTCGACAACATAGCGTAATCAAATGTTTGTCACGCCTTTATAATTAGTGGTATTTTAGTTCCACCATCATTAGGCGCTCTAATATGCATTTTAATGTAAACATAATTTATGTACATTTCATTATTAAAAGAATATGAAATGTTATATAGGATTTTCGTTTTGTTACGCTAGGGCGTAGAGGCTGCTCTTTAGCGCCTGAGACGTTGCAGTGTCAAAAGAGATACAGAAATATCTGTGATACAGTCCCGAAAACGGGGGGATTCGCAACTTTTCACCTCCTACCCACTTCCTCTCTCCAATTCGACGGATGTCAGTTTTACGTACACATTTTAATAGCTGATAATGAAAATAATGCTGTAATTAAATAGATATAAACTGTTCAATATATGCATGAAAACTATTGAAATGAGTACAAAATATAATTATTTACCTAAATTGCTATGGAATGAAATGTTACCGAACGTATGAAAACTTAACCGTAGGTAAAACGAAACGTTCAATGGCGAGAATTCTATATACACAATCTGTGGTAGGGATTGACGTAAATATTGCAAAATAATTGATTTCACTAAACAAATCTAAAAAACTACGCGTCTAAGCATGTTGAAACTTTGCGTGTGTGCTTATAAAAAAATATCAAGCCCCAACTCGACGGACGTCAATGGAAAGCTGAGCCGCTTTTTCTATTCACTCTTGCACATTTAAGAATTGTCATAAACTAGTTTTAATATGTAAATCATATACAAAATGTAACCAAGACCTTGTTCTTATTCTGCAAATATATTTTTTAATGCATTATAAGGGTGTTGCCACGTCTGCTTTCACGTACATAAAAGTTATTATGCTATCCTAAGCACACAGGTCGTTTCCTGGATGAAAATACCGTACGTCCTTTTCTGTCTCAGAGACATGATGTATGCTAAACGTCTCATCTCATGAGTCTGAGTAGTTAAGACGACAAATCGTAACAAAGAAACAAAGTGACGGGCTGACGAGCACGGTCAATACACAATTACTTGATGTGAAAAAAACGTTCACCTGTTATATTAAGGATAAGATGCATGTTTATACAACTATCATTAAATAACCCTGCCGGCGAGGGTTATCGTTTCCCTGGTCGGCACTTAAACATAGCTCACTATCCTATTTATGAAGCTTTAAATACTCTAACCACCCACTTAAAACGGCACTATGCACCAGTAGTAGCTGCCAACCTAGCTCTATGCTAATAATTAAATAACATCTTTGTTATTTATAAACCGGAACATTATCAAAGTTATTCCATCCATCATAATACATTCTTGCCACGTGCAAGCCTAACAACGCCTCTCTGGACAACTTAGTGATTACGTAATACTGATATTATTATCAGAGGCCCGGGTTGAAACCAGGTTTTCTCAGTATGTTGTACTTTTTTGATAAAAACTCTGCGAAACTGTCGAGTTAAATTATATGTCGTATATCAAAATATGATGAATGGGCAGTAGCTTTTGAAATATTTAAATTATTTTTCTTTTTTCGATGTCATTCTTTAACAACGTGTATATAAAAGGTAGATGTGTATGTTATGTCAACCTTACTGTACAACATTTCTGATACTTTTAATTGATCCCGCCTATGCATCGGTCACTATTTTATCACGCTATTCACCTATGCATTGTTCTTGCTGAGGTCTTTCTAGCTCGCGTTCCACACTGAGTTAGGTAAGTTATACGTCCACACAAAACGGCTGTTATATAAGAAGCATTTAGGCATACACAATCTTCCGTTTTGTGCTAATTGTGGCATTGCACATTCAAGAAATGGGTAACTGAATTATTGTGTGCAGTGTATTCATTTTCAAAACCTAAAAAAGGGATAATAAATCCCCTGGAGTAAAAGCATTTGTTATGTAAAGTTATAAAAATATAACATAAAGTTAAAATTTGGTTAAGACCTCTTAAACCCAAGATTCTTACATGTGTTCCACTTGATGTAAGCAACATTTAACAGTACATGTGTCTGTTAATCAACACACTATACTTACTTAAACTAAACAAAGAATAGAAATAATACAGAAACTTCCTCTACTAATTTGATAAATAACTCTGCCCCGCGGCTTCACTAGCGTTCAATTTGCATGATCGTTTTTTGTTATTCGTATGGTTCGCTAATGTTCGTAAGGTTACGTGAGTATTGGGTTTCTATTTGTCTCCCTCAGGCAATCAATGCAAAAAGTTTTACTAACTTTTAATTATGGCAGAAATCTCTGTTTGCACGAGGAGTGCTTGGAATAATAATCGTTAATATAATATTGATAACAAATAATGGGTTCTAAATCAAAACAGATCTTCGAAAAAAGCATAGGTTTTTGTAAAAGTTTTTTTATAATTTATGACTATATAGGATAATTCTAAGTTCAAGAGAAAATGGGTAGAGTGGTAGTCAGACTTACTCAGTACTCGACGCTCTGGATTCACCACTTGATTTCTAAAATCGTTTTATTCACAAAGCAAAAAGTTATTCACCGAGCATTTTTCCCCCTCTTAAAAGTTCTCTCTCTTTTTGTATAAAGTTCAAGAACTCCCAAAGCCAGGTAATTATTGTATATCCATCACAATGTTAGCATAAAACGGGACTCCGTGTACACAAGCAAGGTTGAAAGTAAACAGGGACATCCTTCGGTAAACTCTTGAGTTCAGAGCGTGAAGAAAAAATACCATGTTTGAGCTTTTAACAAGCATTATGAAATGCGTTGTTTAGAAAATTCTTAGAACCATATTTTAGTTAGTCTTTTAAAGCATTTATTAGGAAATAATGTAACACACAACACAACTAATTTAGTAAGCGAGAAATTATAAAAGGAAAAATATGTTTCATGTTCATTCTTATTTAGGTGACAATTCTAGTGGGCAATTTGCTTTTTAATGTATATACAAACATACAAGAGCCGACTAAGGGAGCAAAGCACGCAGGACAACAGCACTGCAAAGAGAGGGAACACTTGACACTAACCCTATACCAACTCGGCTGGCCAGTGTGGTATAGTAGGCCAAAACCTCTTTTCTAAGGAGAAGCCTATGTTCAGCAGTAAACTATTAAAGGCTGTTGATGTACATACATAAACGCCTACACTTCGCCAAATATATCTTACATAATAGGGAGCAAGCCTGTTACTGTCAACCTGGTACTAAGAATTTAGAAGAATATTACAAGGAAAGGTATATAAAATGGTAGGATTATTAACACAGAATATTAATGGAATGGAATGCAAAAAATTGCTCGAGCAAGTCAGCATCCCATACATGTAACTACAATTGGCTCCTGTTCTTCTTAACTTAATTTTTTGATTTAGAAAATCCTAACAAATTATACATACTAGTGGAGTGCACACACACAACAACAAGAGATTTAACGATGACTTGTAATTAAGTGGCGTTTTCAAAATAGAATCCTTATCATTAGATTATAGTAAACTAATTTCCTAAAATTCTTTGTTGACAGGCGTAGCGGCTATGAGTCAGAGACGAGCGAATACTCAGAAGACTCGGCGGTGTACGACGATGTGCCGGTTGCAACCAAAAGTGTTGGGTCGCGGAAGAATATCAATAGAGGACGGTGGACGAAAGAGGAGGTACTTCATTAATATATTTAGTAGACTTAAAGATACTTTTGTATTCTTTATGTATCGACGTCTTCTAAATATTATCTTTTTCCAGCGTAAACTTGAGAGGCTTTGGTTATGTTAGTGACGGAGTGTTACTTACTTCTAACGTGTCGAATAAGGACTACACAAAATTCTGTAATAAAAAAACACTATTAATCCTTTTTAATAATATCTTTTTCCTTGCATTTCACATATTATTAAATAATTAAGGCTAATAGAAAAACCGTACTAGACTTTTTTCTATGTCCAAATAACTAATTTTAAAAAAATAGTGTTAATATCTAACTTTAAGGGATTGTACTGCTAGCAATTGATGAAGTGACCATTTCAACTGCCTTTACAGTTGGGTGAGGTCCTTACCTCTCCTATAAGTACCATGACTGACATCAGTCGTTTTGTAATTCCAGGATAGAAAGCTGAAGTCATATGTTAAGACGTACAATGAAAACTGGGAGCTTATCGCGCTCGGGTTTCCAGACAGATCCGATGTTCAATGTCAACAGCGCTGGACAAAGGTGGTCAACCCTGAACTAGTCAAAGGCCCGTGGACAAAGGAGGTAAATTATTATTTTTTATATCATCATTCATTCTTTCTTTAAATGCATAGTTGAGATAAATATTCTTCTTGTCTGAACAGTAATAACAATTCTAAAAAGTATACATTTTTATAAATTGTAAAAATTCTCGACGGCAAATTTCTATTTATCACGTTAAAAGATCTTGCCGTCTTTATACAATCAACATATTCCTACCCTTTCCTTTCATTCTCCGCTATTACTCGTCATCCTCTTTCACGCGTACCAACCTTCATTCCATTGCAAGATGGTTACGGCATTTTTTCTTTTATGGCCACTTTCTTATAGAATAACACTGAATTGTCTGTTGTCAGTGTAAAAAAAAGCTAAAGAAAAAAAATACTTTAGCTGGTGTTCTTGTTGCAATCATTGAACATTTTTTTTTGGGAAAGGGCTAAAAGCCTTTGAGATAAAGCGTTAGAAAAAAATACATAAAAATAAAAAATAATCTTATCTTCTAAATCTACAAAACTAAAAATCGAAAGGTCTGTATAAGGTAGAAAACCTCAGACTTCCGTTTGTATGGCAAAAAATATCATCCCTTTAGAAGGCCACTTGATGAGACAGTCACAAACTTTCTCGCAATTTTTTTAGTAAAATAAATTCAAAGACACTAATTACGTTACTTTCCTTCACAAGTACTTAACAAGTACTTTTCTATACATTGTAGCTAATTTGAGTTCGATCCGCTTGTTGATCACACTAACAATAGTATCCGTTTATTTTCAATGAAATTATAATGGACCTGTCATCATATTATGCATTTGTGATTAGTTCTTACTTTGTTGAGTGCAAGTCTTGTTATTTATATGACCATATAAAAAGTAACAAACTAACATGAAAATAGTCAGTTAAAAAAAACATTACATTTTAAAGAGCAATTTTTCCCTTAGAAGTGGAGCAGCGGCCTAATATGATGAAAACCGATATTCTCGTGTAATATTAAGCTAAAAATACAATTGCAGCAGGTTTAAATTAGTCTATATAACATATTCAACAATAAAGTTCAGTTCTCGCCAATCTGTCTAGTCTATGAATGCAAGGAAGCGGCCCTGACTCACGGGTCATTGTTACTGCATGCCGTCCGCATATAATGTGAATGTGCATGGTTGACGCGAATATTGTGATGTTCCACTCTTGGTATGTCCGGGATATGTGTAGTATGAAGGTACCAGGATTTGAGGCTTATGCGTATGAGTTAGTCTCATGATCTGACTTCAGTTATTCTGACTGACAATTGATGATCGTGTTCTTAAGAAAAGATTTCACGTCGCCGTCTGCTTTTACCTCCAAACTTTAAATTATAATATTCCATATTTCTCTCTACCCTTCTCGTATCCATTCTGTCTCGCTGTCACCGGACTATATGGCTACGTTTACAAACAAATTTACCTTTAATATACCGTAAAGTATTTAAGAAAATATCTAAGCATAAATTAATTAACATACTTGACCCTACATAGTTCATAGACGTTAAAGTTATTTTAATGGTATTATTATTATAAGCATAACTTCGTTGTATTTTCTTGTCATCATATTATGCATTTGTGATTAGTTCTTACTTTGTTGAGTGCAAGTCTTGTTATTTATATGACCATATAAAAAGTAACAAACTAACATGAAAATAGTCAGTTAAAAAAAACATTACATTTTAAAGAGCAATTTTTCCCTTAGAAGTGGAGCAGCGGCCTAATATGATGAAAACCGATATTCTCGTGTAATATTAAGCTAAAAATACAATTGCAGCAGGTTTAAATTAGTCTATATAACATATTCAACAATAAAGTTCAGTTCTCGCCAATCTGTCTAGTCTATGAATGCAAGGAAGCGGCCCTGACTCACGGGTCATTGTTACTGCATGCCGTCCGCATATAATGTGAATGTGCATGGTTGACGCGAATATTGTGATGTTCCACTCTTGGTATGTCCGGGATATGTGTAGTATGAAGGTACCAGGATTTGAGGCTTATGCGTATGAGTTAGTCTCATGATCTGACTTCAGTTATTCTGACTGACAATTGATGATCGTGTTCTTAAGAAAAGATTTCACGTCGCCGTCTGCTTTTACCTCCAAACTTTAAATTATAATATTCCATATTTCTCTCTACCCTTCTCGTATCCATTCTGTCTCGCTGTCACCGGACTATATGGCTACGTTTACAAACAAATTTACCTTTAATATACCGTAAAGTATTTAAGAAAATATCTAAGCATAAATTAATTAACATACTTGACCCTACATAGTTCATAGACGTTAAAGTTATTTTAATGGTATTATTATTATAAGCATAACTTCGTTGTATTTTCTTTCACTTGGTCACGTATTTGAGGAAGCTCGTGGTTTCAGTCAAGATAGAAATAAGTGGCGGGTTGTCGTTACTGCCTACCCCGAAGGAAGAACGGCGTAAGTTTATGTATTTATTCCCTTTGATGACGTCATGTCGTGCCTGTGTTTGCTGCAAATAATTTCCAATAAAAACATTGTTCCCCACGACTCAATTTTAGTCCTAACAGAGTCCAGAAATATCTAAAGTCCATGACGCCACGAATTCTTAGATTTTATGAATGAATCCATTGTTAGTACAAGTTTAGCATACTAATGTCTTATCTGTGGTAGTAAATACTTATGTTTATTGACGCTTTATAATTGTTTGTGTAAGTGTTTTAGTCGCGATTTATTGAGTATACTGTTTTAGAATTTTTTATAATTACATATTAACAAAAATTTAAAAATTTAAATGCTTGCTTCATCATGATCAATGATAAACTGTATTCTTTGGTCCCCTATCTTTCCACCCTTATGAGTAGTATTTTTGCTTCAAAGTTGAATGGAACCCTTTATACTAAAAGAGTGAGTGACAAATAAAATAAAAATACAACCGAAACCTCCTTTTTTTAAAGTCTGTTAATTATAAAAAGCCGCTTGTAAGTTACTAAACTTAAATTTGGTATATTGTCAACAAAGTTTTTAATAATGAAAATATTTTATCGTTGAGTAGAAAACCTAATGCAAATTAAATCTGTTTTAACATAATAAAACCTAACATTTTAATGTAAAGTTTTAAATGGTGTTCAGAATTTGTTAAATTTTATATATTTTTTCCTAATGGTTTTTTTATCATGTAAATCTTTGCATAAAATACTTGACGCAATAATATTCGCTCAAAATATATTATACACAGTAGAAAATTATTACATTGTTATAGCCAGATCCGTAACTTTTACAAGTACAATGACACTAAAAATAACATAAACGTACATCACAATACGTGAAGCGAACAATATAATCTCTCTTACACATTTCGGCCAATGTCCTGATATTCCAGGCTCAAGAGAACTTTGACGTCATGACCCAGAAGTAATTCACCATAATTTTACTACCTACATAACTGGAATACTAACTATTCAATGACGAACAATAGCCAATAAAAGTTTTGTCCTTTCTGAGAAGGCAACTCTAAAATGTTTTCACACTATTTATTGCTCGAACACCAAATACGTAATTTTTTTGATAAAATCTATTATTATAATAAAAAGATAAAGAAATAATTATAATCATTTCTTTTATCTTTTTGCATATATAAATATGTAAAACATACTGAGAATAGTTTATTTTTATGTCTTTTTCAACTTATGAAAAAATATAAAACATTCCGACCAATACTCTATCTACTAAGGATTTTTCGATGGACTTTCCAGGCTACGCTTCCACTTCTGAACTTTTTCACTATACTGGTATTGGATTTTTTAAACTCAGCACATGATGTCGTTATATGACGTAGACGGATTTTGACATCTTTAGATACTCTATCATTTATTGCGTTCCATAATGTACATAACACAACACACATATCTAGCCATATCAAAATCCGTCTGCCATATAAGGCTTAATATAACTGTGTCATAAAATATGTCATATATGGTAAAATAGTTTGATTTGAGATGTAATAAAAGTATATTGGATTATTATCATTCTGTTTTTTACTTAAGTGATTTATAAATAAATTATTTGTGAAACGTGGATTTCTAAATACTGTTGACCAATCTTGTTTTAACCATATTTTTTTTCAATCTCTGCTGGTTAAATTACGCTTATAGTTGTGGTAACCTTCTACCTAATGAAACTGCTTCGGCAGCAAAAGTTTGATGAGAAGTCCCATTTAATTTAAAGACGTTTTTATTGTAATCTTATTGTATTCGTTAAAGGAGAATTTCAATTAAATATTAATGATGTACAACATTTTTATTTTATTTAAAAGAGTATTATTAACTCATTAAAAATGTTCTCTAAATATAACTTCATTGAAACACCCATTAAGTAATTTGTAAATGCATATTAAATAAAATAATAAAATAAGAATGAGTTTACTGGATATCTCGTGAATTAACATAAACTCGCATCCAATGAATTATAAAATTTGTTACTGCAAATGTAAATATAATATGTAAAATTAGAATTTCTTAATAAAGAAAAATGCCAACATAGACCGGATTTTTATCCTTATCAAGCAGACATCCTCGTGCTCGATCCTTGCCCTTGACTCCACTTTTTGTAGGTTTGTTCGTACCAAATATCATTCAGCTTATATTATTAACGAGACATGTTGATAATGGGTGATGTCATTCCTAATTGGGAGGCCGAAAAGCGCCCCAGATGCTTTATTAAAGTTTTAGTCTAAATAACTCCTAGTTTATCTTTTATATATTAGTTGACCCGGCAAACGTTGTTCTGCCATTATAAATCATCTCAAGAAAACAAACTTAAGTAGGACAAAATCGAGATTAATAATAGGGGAGGGTGAAAAATACTTTACGACCTATTCGGTCGAGCCCTTTCGGAGGAGTGCTACCACAAATACCGTGACATAATTAAATATTAGATGTTCTTCATTAGCTAAATTTTGAGCATAACGAAAAATGTTTTGCTGTTTTTAACTACTTAAAGATTCAGTTGAAGGTCACTAAAAAACTAAGGTATTCAATACCTTCTTTTATTAATTGTATAAATTGGAGATTTTTTTTTGTTATCTTTTAAAATGATAGCGTGCCTAATTAACTAAGTACTATAGGGCAAAAACATTCAATTGTTATCGAAATGATATTTTGTTTAAATTGGTCTAGTCTTGATATTGAATTAGCTATACATAAGTAGTTATTAAGTACTCGTGTTACTACTATTTTGATGTATTTCCGTATTCCGATGAAAAACATTGTAAAGTATTTTCTAAGATAGATTTTGGGTAAGCAATTATAATCTTCATTGGAAGAAACTTTTATAAAGAAGTACTTCTATTTTAAGGTTGCCTGTCCTGTCCTGACGCTAAACCTAGTACTAGCTTTACTAGGACCGGCCTTAAAGAAATCAGGAGAAACTGTTAGTTTTTCACATTGCGCCGAACAAATTTAAAAACAAAGTTGGAATAATTACAGGAAGATGACGATGATGATGATTATGGTAGTATATAATAATTATCACTTCGTAGAATGAATGCCATTAATTAACAACAAATAATTATAATATATCATCAAATCATATGTACAACATGGAACAATTTACGAATTAGTATCATGGTACCATCATAAAAGTTAGTAATTTCTACATCTTGTGAAATCATTGCAGGCAGTCCCAGGCATACAATTTAGCTAACGTAAAAAATAAAGCCGCGTCAAATTTAAGTCTCAGACTTAAATTTGACGCAGGCTATCCACCATTTGTAAAAATATAAACACTTAATCAGATTTTTTATAAAATCAAAGGTTAAACAAGTAATATTTATTTACTATTATGTCATCAAACTACATGAATTGTTGAACAACCAGAAACCTATCCTAGTCTAGAACAGGTATCAATAATATAACAGCTGATTCGTTTGAATTTTTTATTACACCTACACACTGGTTCACCTTGCGAAGTAACGTATTTTCACACGCCACGAACAGATGATTTCTCTTTGTAAGTTTTTGTTATACCTACTTACTTTTTGTATGATATCGGTGTAGGCACAATATCTTTATGATGTACGTTTATGCTCTTAGTATGGCAATTCGGTAATTGTTCGGTGTTTTTGTGCGATTGATATGTAATTTAATTGTAAAGGCGATGTAATCAATTTTTCTTTATGGTCGAACTTCGGTGGTTTAATGAAGTTGTTAGCGTTGCTGAATGAATAATAATACACACTTTTTTTAATGTTGGATATTTATAGAGCAGTTAATTTATATTGAAGTTAATATTTCATTAAGTTATAAGTTTTTCAGACCTGTCTGTCAAAGTGATCAATAAGGTACTTTTCTGTTGCCAAATAAAACGTCAATAATAAATATAAATAAATATTATTATGATGTCTCTCTCCAGTTACAGGACGGAAATATAGAAACTACACATAGCTTGGCTTCTGCAGTCTCGGCCTCCCTAAACTTACGATACCCCTACTCTGACCCCACCGCTCTGCTTTCCTCACCACAGTTTACGTTCATGCTTTGTCTCTTCTGAAAACGATTATATTCTCAAGGAGGGTTGACTCAGACAGGACAGGTCCTTAAAGAAACCAGCCAGAACCTTTTGCAAAGTTAAAAATTGAATAAATTATAGTTTAAAAGAACTCGCTTTTGTAGCTAGCCTAGCTCGCTTTTGTATAATTTCAAAAAGAAAAATCATTTCATCGTATAAATGCGTGGGTTGTTATTATGTTATAAAATATTTTGAAAAGCACCCCATGTTTTAGTTCGGCTGGTTACATAAGCGTGTTTCTGCCTGAAGATCCTGATCAGGATAATCGGCCAAATGTACGAAATTATTGCATTGTCATCGGTCCTCGATAAGTGTGCCAAGTTTTAATTTAATTCGACGGGGTTAAAATCACATCCGAAGTCACATTTCATTACACACATACATACCAAGCTAATAAAAGCGTGTTAAAAGAGATGATAACTGTAAAACAAAATAAGTTAAACATTTAAGAAAATATTCGATGGTATGTTCGTTTTAATACGTTACGTTTACTACGCTCTGGGAAAATGACCCTTGGGTCCGATATACGTCGAAAAGAAGAACTTCTAATAAGAAGGTCAAATAGCTGCAACGACAGTCATTAATTTACTTTAATCTAGAAAGTACGATAAATAGTTCAATTTCCCTGGTATATGATATAGGTAGACGAAACATATATACTAAACATCTTTCTTTTTTGCAGGAGGACGAGAAAGTAATGGAGTTAGTTGCGAAATACGGTCCGAAGAAGTGGACGCTCATAGCGCGTCATCTAAAGGGCAGGATAGGGAAACAGTGCAGGTACACATAACATACCTATTTTCTCATTCTTGTCGTGGCTGGCCTGACCGGCTTTAGGGCTTTAGGGCTGCTGCACGTCTTTCGATCTCCCTCTATTTCTGCTTCGCATTGCGAGCACATTGTACTGCAGTCTAAATAAAGGAAAAAAACCCTTTTCGAAGTTGTTCATTTACTTTAGTAGATTGTAGTACGATTTATCAAGTAAATTGTTTATATACTTTCTTTGGGTAAATCCTTTCAAGAGTTTTGGTTTCCTTGACATCAGTAAACTTATAATTGCCCTCGTAGTAGAAAAAAAATGCGAAGGATGTCTCTGTTTATTGTTTTTAATAAGTTTTAAAAATGTAGTTAGTGTCATTAATATTATTCTTTTATTAAGAACATAGATTGTTGTTTGTGAACTGTCGTTTTGAAGAATTTTAGCTAAAATATATTTTTACATTGAGGTTTTATAATTCCAGAGAAAGATGGCACAATCATTTAAACCCGTCGATCAAAAAGACCGCGTGGACAGAACATGAAGACAGAGTTATATATCAAGCGCACAAACAACTCGGTAACCAATGGGCCAAGATCGCCAAACTTTTACCCGGCAGGTGAGGCATACACTGAAAATATATATGGTATTACATACCTGTAACCTGTACCTGGTCGGAACGTCAGGCAATTTTAAGTAGTAACCTATTACGGAATGGCGGTAATACCTGTGTAAATTGTGAATTACTACATAACCTAATAATAGGCAGCCCGAGTTCAAAACTTACCTGGATTCGTATTCGGTTCTGGTGTTTTCTTTTTCTAGTTGATAATGCCGGTATAATATTTTATTCTCTGTAAATCTTAAAAAGTAAAAATGTGTATAATATATAATTATTCCTTATCTACTTTAGTCAGGTAGATAGATACTCGTTGTTGCATAGAGTGGTTAGGCGACGTTCAATGAAGAATGCTCAGATTACAAAACAAAATGCTGATGGAACGTACACAGCAAGTAGTCTGAGGGCGTCTATTTTTTTATGCGTGCGTGACAACTAGTAGTCGCAGTGTAGGTATACGTGCATCTGTGTGCATGTAATGATACCAGAAACAGAAAAAACTCCCCGTTTTTGGAAAGTTCTATTACGACAGTTATATTTAGGAATTTTAAATTTAAAAATATTAATAATTTAAATTTAAAAATATATTTTTATTATAATCATTTTCCAAATACATAAAGATTATTAACAACCTTTATTTTGCCAATTGTTTTTTTGCCTGCTTTGGCGAATAATAGAAATCCATTCATCGCGTAAAACATCATCTGTCGTCAACCTGCAAAAATCGTAAAACAGTAAAACTCAGAATTAAATTACTTTGTAGAAAATATTTGTTAAATAAGTTTAATATCTTTTGTTAATATTCTATAGTTATACCTTCGGTCGGCGTCTTATTTATTCACTTAAATATTAAGGTTTAATGGATTTTAATATCAACAATTCAACAGTTTGTTTTCTTTGGTGTTTAATCACATAATTAATCATGTATTAGAAATTATTACATTTAAATATCATGTGAACGGCAATAATTACAAATTATAAACAAAATTTACATCCAAATTCAGAGCAAGAATTTGTATAAAAAGAACACTTGAATGAAATTGAAACCATGAACCATGTCCCCTGGTATAACAATGAGGGTCACTAGTGCCTTTACTAATAGGTAATTTTTCCATTTGCTGGGTAAAAATATCGGTGTAAACTGGCAACACAGACAAACAACTGTAGAGGTTTTGTGTTCCGAGACAACCTTATAATTAAAGGGTAAATAAATAATTAAACAACCAAGTAATCTATAGTTTCCTGTGAAAGGATATCCCATTTTCTTTCTTCTGTTTTTGGGAACAACTTTACTATGTTTAAAAATGCAAGACGGCATTTTTAATATAAAAAAACGAATCACTCGTGATGTGTGAACAGTATGAGTATGAGTTTGTTTAGCACTGCCGCGAGAATGTATTCGTTTTTTGATTTCTATTTGCTTTGGTGCCTTCACTTTCGTGTTTGATGCGCCTTATCTGCCTTTTGTTTCGTACAATACAATACGAAAAAAATATGTTAAACGGGGTCTTATCGCAGCTTGCGATCACTTACAGACAACCTTTAGATGGACCATACTCTATACTTCTATAGTAATATGTAGTTTACCACCTTTTAACCTTTGAGTAAACCTAAAGAGCGATAAAATAATGTATGATATTGTCTTCAGGACGGACAACGCAATAAAAAACCACTGGAACTCGACGATGAGACGAAAGTACGAGCCCGACCTGATGGATAGCTTCGAGTCGCTACGCCGCAAACAGACGCGGGTAAAGCCGCGGGAATTGTATAGCGAGCCCGTCTCCCTACCGCAGGAGCCACTTGACAAAGTCACCGTTCATTATAACGATGTTAGTTTGCTTCTTGTGTTTGGTTTACTGACGTTCTGGTTGGAGTATTATCTATACGATATAAAGAAAATTTTGCCAACGTTAAAACGTGGAATTTAAAAATTTAGTTTATGTACATCATGGTTTAAAAAAAACCGATTATTATTTTTTAAAAAAATATGACCACTTTACCCTGAGCTCCGGTTTCTACACAATAGGGAAAAAAAACAAGTACTTGCAAATAATGAACAGTTTTATATTCCTCCTAGGTATAAATTCCACCTAGTTGTGTAAAAATCGTAGCCTAAATGAATTTCTATCCTTTTTCAAATTGAAACCAACCAGATAGTTAGTTTTTTACTTTGCTATTTTGTTTTGTTTTACCATAAAACTTATCGAATCATCTATTTATATTTAGTTCACATATATATTTGTAGATCTTTACGATTAGACTTAAATATGTTTGAGAAATGTAATTATTTTTTAAATGACGAACTACGTTTTTGCCTCAGGGTAGTTTAATGTTTAAGTAGTTTAAATGTGGGAAATATGTTCAAAAATCTGTAACATATCCTGGGAAGTTTCTTGTGAATTGTAAAACTTAGTTTGATGTCTGTTCATTAACAGGGTAAATATTTTATTGGATACTTTTTGTAACATAAAATAATTTAGTCACAAGTGTAAATATATATCTGGCACACACAGCTTTGAAACACCCAAAGCATTGACCCACTCTCTAAACATGTGACTCTCCTAATAAACGTCATTGAGTTTGGTTAATGTGTGTTAAAATAAAATTTTATATTTAAGTCAAATCAGTAAGCTTTCAAAATCGTATCCAGTATGAGTTCTATGTTGTTATTGTTTGCTTTTCCATCATCATGTTGCTTTATAGTCGTTGGTGTTACATTACTCATTAACATAATGATAGCCATATTCATCATCTGCCTACTCTAATCTCAACACACACATCCATCTCAGAATTCGCATTTCGGCTAAGCATAGGCGTCTCTCATCCGTACTCTTAATGGGCCAACTTTCAGAACCATACAGGACGGCCGGTCATCGTTATAGCCATATTGTTGATTTAGAATGTATAATTTCTGTAAAGTTTTTTTTTCTTTCTATAAAGTATAATTTCTATAAAGTTTTTTTTTCTTTCTATAAAGTATAATTTCTATTAGTTCTATAAAGTAAGACAAATTTTATAAAGCCGTATCATTTGATCATTTTTATTGTAACTGCAAATATTTATTAGTGGTATATTGCAGTTCAGTTCTATTTGTGTTATTGAATATAAGTAAAAATTCTATAATTTCCTTTAAGATCCACTGCTTAGACCTGTTGATCAAGTGGTTAGCGATTCTGATAGGTAAGCGACAGTTAGTGTGTCGATTCCCACCCAGGTTGAGCCCTATATCAAGTGCCCGGTCGACGGAAATAGACTTTACCCCTATTAAGTAATCAAATTTTAATTCTCCAATTGTCCACAGCAAAACTGGTCATTCAATGAGTCTACCCAAAGTAACTCCTCGAACACCAGCCAGCCTTCGAAACACGTCCTTCACTTCCGACAACTGCTGAAGGAGCAACTCAACAACATCCAACAACAACAATCACCTTCCGGGAACCAGTCTCCCGACCGGGGCGGGCTGGTCGCCGCCGACGTGGAGATCGTCGACGCGCCCTTCAAGTGAGTATATAAAAAAACAGTTTCACTCCGGGAGTGCCGACAGAAGTGAAAACTTATATACTTATAGAGGTGTCGGTAACGGTAACAGTGTCGCGAGTTCAATTTTTTTGCCCAAGATACATTTTTTTGTTTATCGTTTAAAACTACCCAATGCGCCTAAAAAAGTTTTCACTTCAAAATACTTGTTAAACGTTGGATATTCATATTTCCAAAGAATCTTTTATACCAATTTATACATATTTCAGTCATTCATTCATTTGTGCATATATATATATATATATAAAACATATGGAAATTAAAATAGAATAGGATAATTAATTTCAAATGGTCCACATTTAAAATTCAATAAAATTTAAATTTCATTTACTTTAGATTTCGAACTTTTCTAAGGCCTCTAACATGAAGTTTTAGTTCCTTATTATTTTTTGGACAAGAGACTTGGTTTCTTCACTCGTCTTGGTCTTGTCACAGGATAGATGGCTAGGGTTCTAATATTGCTCGGACGAACAAACTTATCTGCACATTTTTTACCATATCCGCAAAAGAGCTAAGTTCTTGTGGTCTCAGCATTTTTCAAGCACGGTTCTGAAACGGCTGAGGGAGCTCACTACATCTTGTTTTTCCAGCAGATGCTGTATTGTGGTATGCGCTAGTATAGGCTTTTGCCATCTGAGACGTTCCAAATCCGATCTTACGGCAAATATTTGTGTCACGCAGCTTCTCGTCAGTGTTCATTTTGCCCTCCGTTACTATAGAGCAGACCACCTAACAGGACAATACTTGACATCCATTTCTGGATCTTCGGCGTCTGTATTACCTCGGTAGGTAAATCATCGTTCTTGGGCAATGCTGTGTTGGCGTCGGTTGAGGACTCCTCTGTATTAACTGGCTACGACCGTTTGGCTCGACCCTGGGTTAGACATCGCTACTAACACTAACTTAATTTACATTAGACTTGAATCACTCTCGCTCGTGAAACACTGAGCGGGAATTACTTACGCCACAAAATATTTTTTTAAAAGAAATAATATATGATTTATATCTTGTACATTTTGTCGTATATAAAAACACGCCTGTTTAGTCAATCGGTCTATGAATATTGGACTAATTCGTACTAATACCAATTCCTAATTTATAATAATAGGACTAATTCGTAATTTATAATTTTCTTTTCAGATTCGTGAACCTAGATACCTTGCCAACAGACTCGCCTCTCAGGAACTACTTGAGTCAAGCGTCAACAGAGAATGACAGCAATCAGGATGCAGGTAATTCTATGATTTATTCTGTCCGAATTGACTATAACGAGAGCTCTGTCTGGGACCATATTTCTCAATTAGTAACTACAATTGAAATAAAAATTCTAGGTTAAATTACTTTATGATATAAGTGTCCGACGTTGTAGATGTGTGTTCAGAGGGCCTAGTTTGAGTTTATTTCACATGAACTCGATTGTCACGGTGACCGCGCATGGCATTGTGATTGGCCCGCACTGTAATCGTCACCAATCGCAACACCGAACGCGCTGGCCGTCGAGAGCGAGTTGATGTGTAATAAACTCACACTAGAGGCCCCTGTCCCTTATCTTAAACTAGTATAAAACTGCTAGCATTTTAGCACGTTAACAACCTAACACATGACCTCATGTTCAGTACACAATAGTCGCTCGTTTATTATAATATAGTGAGGGATGGCATAAATGGTTTCAACTAATTCATGAGCATTTGAAAGGAGTTTTTCATCACAATTAAGTAAATAGATTTTTTTATTAATACGAATACACATTATTTTGGATGGTTATTTTTTTCAGCACACATGACCATCTGATCCCAAAGAAGGCAGAGCCTGTACTACGATAATCAGACTGCTGATACACATTCTTATATATTTCTAAACACATACATGTTATAGATGAATTACACCCAGACATAACACAAATGCACGTGCCCAGTTTTGATTCGAACCTATTACCTGTGACTTAGTAGCCATGATCACTGACCCGTCTTATGTCAAAAATTTTTTTTTTGAATAAATTTTTTTTTTTCTTTCCAGTAACATACGCAATACAGACGGATTCTACGAAGGAGATAGTAGTCCCATCCGTGTACACATCGCCTAAGAAACGGCCGCTGGAAGCGAGCAGCCCGCCCCCCATACTGAGGCGGAAGGCCAAGAAAGTGCAAGTACTCACGCCCAATCCCAATGTGAGTTTATGTATGATCAAACCTTTCTTACCTTTTTATTTGAATGATTATAATGTACTACTTGTTCTTTTGATGTCATTTTTTAACCTCTTAGTTCTGATGTTTTAAAAACATAGTACATGTTTTTAGTATGGACCTTAAAGAACAATACTTTAAAAAGAACAAACCTTTTGCTCTCAACACTCGTTGCCTTTCACTGAGTGAGTGAGGGTACCGGAGCCCAATTGACTCCAAGGGCGGGAACGCGCTTGTGACTTTTGAGTTGCAATTGTTCATGGGCGGCGGTAGTTGCTTACCATCAGGTGACCCGACAGCTCGTTTGCCTCCCCTATACCATAAAAAAACCGATATTATTGTACTATCTCTGTTTTGAAAAATATTTTGTACTAAAATTAGTATGTTAGGTGGGTACTTTGCTAACGACTAAAAATATCAGGTCTGAACTGAATCGACTATTTCGTTCTATTTATAGCACAAAAGGACTTATGTATTATTTGATTAATTTAGATCTTGTTTCACTGTTAAGCAAGCTATTTAAGAAAATGAATCAAATAGCGTAAATGATTCCAGTTCAGCTGTAATCCTTCATGTTTTAAATTTAGTCATCTTTCTCGATTTCAGTCATGGACGGACACATTGACCAAAGCATTAGAGTCCCGTGAGAGTGGCGTGACTCCCATCAAGGCTCTCCCGTTCAGTCCGTCGCAGTTCCTCAACTCTCCCACGGCGCTTTCATTCCCGCTTGATTCCACTCCACTCAGGCATGCTACAAAGGTAATTTTTTTCATCTTTGATTACAGGATATGTTGTAATAACCACATATGAAGAATTATATGTGGTTATTACAACATATTCTTCAGGTTATGTGGTTATTACACATTTATTATTATATCGTATTCTTCAGACAGTTTCTACTGTCTGAAGAATACGAAAAAATATTACTTAATAAATTTGTGCAGATTCTAATTTATGTTTAAATTTTGTATTTATGGTCCATTCGCGTTAAGAAAATAGTGACGCATCTCGCACCTTGATTGACCAATCATATTCCAAGTTTTCGTATGAAACGAAATTTATTTTTTGGAACCTAAATGGTCAGGGGGCGGGGCTTGATCGGTGCGTCATTATTTTCTATAAGCGAATGGGAGTATAGTGACCGCATTTAAAAGATATAGAAGCAAAAGAGTACAGTTATTAAGATTTTCGTTTTATAATGATATAATTCAAAACTTGGTATTACAGGAATGGAGTGCAAGTCCCCTATTACAAACTCCGACGCCTGTCAACCACGTGACCCCTGGAGGACCTAACGCCGCAAAGAGTAACACTCCAAAGTAAGTACTTACTTCAACTATATACACGGTATAATTAGTAGCCTAGAGCTTAAGGCGTTAGACTTGCGATCAAGAGGTTGTGGGTTCAAATCCTGACCAGTACACTACCGACGTGAACCCACTCCTTACACAAGCAATTTAGCTTAGCAGGAGGGGTTAACGGGAAATCTAGTAATTATGGTTGCTAATAGAACTTTAAAAAAAAATCGTGTTTTTTATTTTTGAACAAAAAAATATCAAATATTCTCTTGTTTCGGATGGTACGTACGGTGGCTAGGGTGAGGGAAATTATTTCCCAAAATATAAATCTCGATGAATAACCGGGGCCCTGGCTAAACCACACTGATTAGCCAATCAGCTAATGTTACCAATATTTTCATGATTCATTCTCTTTACAGAACTCCAACCCCTTTCAAGATAGCTATGGCAGAAATAGGCAAGAAATCTGGCTTAAAGTACGAACCGTCCAGTCCAGGGCTGTTGGTTGAGGATATTACCATCATGATGAAACGGGAGAATTCTGATAGTACAGTGCAACTGAATGATTCTTTATTATCTTCTGCCGCCGACCAAGAGAACACTGGTGTTCAGGTATGTATAAGTTCTCTTATAAAACGTAAATTTTCCCAACTTCGGTATAAAATATACTAGAAAGAGAAATTATGTACTACTAATTTTGTGTCAGTGTAGAGTAAATAAGTATACTATTATTATAACAGGACATCTTTATATTTATAGGCCCGTTGCTATCGGCGACGGCAGCTTCATTCTCGCATTTTAAACCTTTAATTTTTTTAAATCTCGATTTAAAATACTGTAAAGAGTAATTTTAATATAAATTAAATGCACAATGTATCTTACGTATTTACTTGGATAAGTAATAATAATGTATTCTTTAAAATAGTTTCGTAAATAAATCATTATTATTTTGTAATATTTAAAGATAAAAATAGTCACTGTGGGTCATCCTTAGGAGATAGACATATACCGTTGCGCACTTTTTTGTAGATCTATTAAGGATATACAATTCTGTAGTACATTATTAGTTTAGCCAACGTTTGCAAGTAAGCGCACAAAAGCATGTTTTTAAACGGCCGATATTTGAAATTCTCGTTTTTACTCTACTATTAATATCACTCTCTCTATTTGTGAAAACCGCAGCAAAATCCGTCGCTCAGTTTAAAAGATCTAACATACAACACAAAAAGCGACTCTATCGTATAGTACGTGAAGTCGGAGCGGGTAGGTGTGTTGTCGTTCGCTACAAGGCGGGTGGTGTTGCAGGTGAACGACTCCGGCATCGGCAGCGGGTCGGGCGGCAAGGAGAACGTGCCGGCGCGGGGCCGCGCGCGCAAGGCGCTGGCGCCGCGCTGGGCCGCCGCCACCAGCACGCCGCACGCGCGCCCCCCGCACGCCCCGCACCCCCCGCACCACGTGCCCGACGTCTCCTACATCATCGAGACGCCGGTGAGGCTCCTACGACCTTCTATTTACTTATCTATCCGAATGGTCACCGAGTGTCACCACCCCTATTCGTCCCGTGCGTGTCGTGAGAGCCGACCGAGGGAACGAACTACGCTGAACGACAGCACTACGAGAGAAGGAAAACTTGAAACAGAGCCGTCCGGCTAGCAGGCCTATGTCCACCTGTGGACTAGTACAGTAGATGATGATGCCGACTGCCGTACTGAGATCTCGGGTTCGATTCCCCGGTCGAACCAAATGTTTGTATGATCTGAAAATATTTGTTTCGAAGTTTGGATGTTTTCTATGTAAAATATATATAAATTTACAAAAAGTATTCTACCAGGCAATCTAGTTTGTGTCAGATTACCGAAATATTATTATTATATAATAAATTATAGATATTCGCAAGAAAGATACCAATTTTAAATTAAAATAGTCATCTGAATACGAGCACTCATAAGTTATATAATCTTAAATAAAACCTTTACAGTAATAAAGCCGAATGAGTTCAAAAACAAACCTATTAATATATTAAATTCAACAAAAGCCTAAACCTCTGTTATGATAAACAAAGCACACGTTAGTCAATACATCAGTAATGATAAGGACTCCGAAAATATTAAACATTTTTAATAAATGCATTTAAAAAACAAACAATAATAGTTTTGTGAACATAACGTATTCTGTAAATAGAATTATTATTAAACGATTATAATCCATAAATAATTAAAGTGACAATTTTATTTTTAATTGTTACAGAGTAAAACATTGGCAGGCGATAGTTCAGTCATGTTTTCACCGCCTTCGATCGTCAAGCATTCCTTGTTAGAAGAATCCACGAGCTTACACAGCCTCATTAGCGCCGACAACACCCCAGACACGAGCAAATACGACGACATTGATATCGAAGCCGTTATCACCGAAAAAACTAAGGTACAACACAGGTCTATAGTCCCTACTAATCCCGTACCTAACCCTGAAATCTACCCCGAATATAAAAACGAAGTTATGCCCTTTAGAGACTTAACTAACGTCGAATCACCTAGAAGTTTCGCGAGACTAAACGCGGATAGACTACGCACTATTACCTCTGGCAATGAGCTGGCTTGTGATACGTTAATAGCGCCAAAAGAAGTCTTAGCAAACGCGTTAGCTGACCACATTTATAAAGTAACCAATCAGAAGCCGTCTACGTCAAGGATAGATGAGATTTTAACCAATAAGATTATGCATAAAACTGATTTTACTCAAAAGGAAAACCAGTGGTGGAACGTTGACAAAGATACGGGACAGTCCGATGAGATGTTCAACAGTGATTATTACATGTTCACTAATATGTGAGAGATTACGTTTTTTTAAATGTGGTTGTGTGTGATATTACGTTAGTGTGATATTGATGTAAAGCGATTTGAAAGGACCTAACACACAATTAAACATCATATCGTACATTGCGAGTTCGAATTCCAATCAGTACTATTAATTTACGTGGGTGTAGACTCCTACTTCTTACTCCTAATACCAATATTTAGCTTTCCTAGATTGGTAGTATTTTTAAGATGGGTCATCATTTCACCTTTTTAGTATACGTCACACTTGAGACTGTACCCAATGAGTATCAAATAAAAATGTCACCTGTCTGTCTGGACTGCACTAACGAAATATATCACAAAACCATTAATAGACTGTAAATAAAAGTGATTAATATTGTAAGGGCACTAACCTAAGTCATTAAGATTTAACGAAAATCGAACGTAGAACATTTGGCAATGTTTGACGACAACAACGAACGTTGAACATTTGGCAATGTTTAACGACAATAACGAAAGTAGCACATTTGGCAATGTTTGACGACTGATACGAAAATCGTATTTTTAATATCTGTATTTATTTATATTTAAATATACAAAGTAAATCGCGCAAATCAACACGTCAATATGAATGGTACATCTTGTTAGCGAAAGCTTGAATTAATAATATAAATATAATATATTAACTTATAGTTGTTAACATTCTACGAATAAATTTGCCTAAATTATTACACAATAATTGTATAAAAAAGTATCTAATGGTTGCTATTCAAAAAATGTGGTTAATCCATCGTCCATCGGAATTAAGTTAATAAACAAAAAAATACGTTGATTTTTATTCATAAAATTTTTATTTCGGTTTGTATAAAATATGGCGCAAAATATATTTCAGTATCAAAACTGACTACTCTATTCTTTTATTTTCTTCATGATAGTTCTATAAATCGTCAATTAGTGATGACAACAAATGTTGCTGATTTCATTAAATATAACAATCGATTTTATTTAAGAAGAAATTTTAAACAATTTCAAAATAAAAGTTTAAAGTATTTTTTTTCCTAAAATATTGAATTTGTTTACACTTTTAATATTTTTAACGGACTCTTGTAACAATGAAAGACTTGAAATTGATTTAATAGTCAATATAGATTTTTTAAATGTTGCATTTTTTTACATACCTAAAGACTTTACAGTCACATAAACAATACATAATAAGGTTACATAATATAGTGATAGCTGTACCATTACACGCTTTGCTGTGGCACATGGTGGTTGTATTGATGAAAAATGAGGAACAAAACTGAGGCGAAAAATAAAACAAAAACAATTTTTAAAGTGGATTGTACATCGTTTCAAAATTTGAGGTCAATCGGTGCAGAACTTTTTGAGGTTTTGAAGTGTACTACATTATTATATGTAAATCCAATTTATGTAAGTTCGTTCCACAGTTAATTTTACAAAGTCTGGCAGATAGGCTTTTACTTCTTAGACAACTACCAATAAGAAAATAAACTTACGGAAATAATCAGTTAAACAAACTAATTTAAACTAAATCAGTTTTTGCATGAGTTTATCTTTTATCAACTAATATTTTTGAGATACAACAACTAATTGTGCATCATGGATATGCATGGATTTTTTATGCAAAGTCACGACTCAATAACAGTTATTTCTAAAATTAATTCTGACCGCATTACTTCTGAGTATGAATATAAAATAAGGTTTACTAAAGGAATCCCTCAGAACCCCAGCTTTTTTTTTCTGTGCGGAAATCCCCTCGGATACCACCCACCGGTGGAGTGGTCATGTCGGACTCGAACCGACCAAAAACCGTAGTTCAACTCTTAGAACCCCTGAATAACAGGATAAGCAAATCAGAGGACATAGAATAAACCAAAAGCATTTTTTAAAGATTATAGTCCAGCAATAAAACTTTAAACCTAAACAAAAGTATAGTCTATTTAGTTCAAGCAAATAACGCTACTGTTTTTAAATGGGCTATCGCAATGGCTTTTATGATGTGGCACAATTTGTATATAACGACACTTTTTTTAAAATTTTGTAGGTAGGCTTTGCACCAAACTATTAAACGTTTAACGAGGTTAGAACATAAGGTACCAAAGATGAGGTTTTCATCAAATGAACTATTCCTTTTTTTAATTTAATTTAATATATTCTTAATTCTCTAGTTAGAAGTAGTTGTAATTCAAAAGTATACCTCAAGTTTACCATGCACCAAATTGTTTAAGTGTTACTAGTTGTAATAATTTCAAGTATTAATTTGTAGGTTAAAACTTACCTCTTAGTAAGAAAAAAACAAATAAGTACAAATAACTGATTTGTCACTATTTAAGGACAGTATCGTGCTGTTCGTATTGATGATCAAAAAGGTACAAAATATTGATTTTATATTTTTTTTTACTAAAACGGATTCTTAAAGAAAAATCATAAAATGAGGCAATGTGAACGTTAATATTTGTACGACTCTGTTACGGAAGTCAGGGCTGACTAACTATCCCCAGTAGGCGACCTGTCCTTTCCTTGTATTTACTTATTTAGAAATTCTATTATTAATAGTATTTTGTGCTTTGTATTTTGCATTAAAATATTAACATTTTTTTATAATTTAACTTCGCGAATACCGACTTAAATGCTGTCGCATAGGTTGTGGAATTTTTGTATTTATTGCAGTCACTTTTTTTGTTAAATTTTGTAACAAGTTTAATATCGGCAGCTACTTAAGATTACATTTTGAAATAAATTAATGACATTACCCTTTACCTGATCCCGCCATTTTTGCTTTCCCACCAAAACCCTTTCCCATCACAATATTGACAGGCCAGTGTTGAATCTTCTAAACATACTTATTTATTTATATCTTGTTATAGCAATTGTTTTTTGTTATTATTTATGTTTTTTAAAAATGTTTTAATTTATTCTGTAGTGGTAGTTTGTATTTTGGTACATTTTTTTTTGTAATTTACTGTTTTCTCTTTTTTTTTGAGTAGTTTAGTGTTTCTGTCAATATTGTTTGTATTCCAATCCAATCCAAAAGATTTCCAATGTCATTTTTATTTCAATAAATGTATGTTTAATAATTTATAATTTTTGTTTGTTTTTGTTTTAATCCTTTTTTGTTTATTATGTTTTAAGAAAGATATGTTATATCCATACTGAAAGCACAAAATAATTGTTGAGTAACTGTACATATATCTATTCATGCATTTTAGAACAAAACATACTAGTGTATGTTTTGTTCTAAAATGCATGAATAGATCATACCAACGGTTAGTACCGTTGGTATAATATTCCTTTATCTCTATTTACCTTTTGTCTAATTTGTGCACTTTCGGAATACACAGGAAAGCATTTTATGATTTTTTTGTAGTTAATTAGTACGTGCGCTCGCTCGCAGTGGTCCTAATTAGGTATATAATATCATTGGTTATATAGTTTACATGTGCCTTATATAGTTTTATTGCGGGACAGCCACCAAGGGATCACAGAAAACCGATTCCAAGCATATTTCTTTTAAAACGTACTTATAAAAGATAAAGTACACCGAGTGATTAAGGTTATTGGAAGCCCAATCAACCCACACTCATTAATTATTAACTCGAAGGGTGATAACGCACTTGGGTCTCTTGAATTACGGGTTTCCATGGGCGGCGGTAGTCATTTATAGTATAACATAAAAAAAAACTTACCATTTTTTTCTAAAAGGCACGCTTACAGATTACTGCCATTACATGTTACAGGAAACATCAGGAGATAGGTACATATTAAGTCTAGACAGTGATCCAAAATTAGCATAAACAACATGAAAAGGCAAAATATAGGGCATGTGGCAAATATAAATACCTGCCACGTTTAATTACAATAACGCTACTGAAATTCATGTATCTACAGCATACGTAAAATTAAAACTAAATTATTAAAAGAAAAGAAGGAGAAGCACTTACTACTATACAATAGGTTAGCCAATCAAATAAAATCAAAATCAATCAAAAAAAACCGATTTGTCCACGGCATCCCTATGAAATAAAGAAAGTGTTTTAACAGCCATCGTTTGTAAATATGAAAAAAGAAGTATTTTGAAAAAAAAGCAATTACGTAGATTTTCATAAATTTCATAAATAAAAGTTGAACAACAGATCTAACTCAATCGCCTACGTATATCGTGAAACTGGTGTTAGCAGAAGGGTTATACAAAGTTGTTAGAAGAAAACTACATACTCATGTAAGGAATTAACATACAACGACATTTTACTTTTTATTTGTTGAAAGATGTTAAGTAAAAATAAAGCATAATATGTGGGGCTTTGTTTAAATAAATTCAGTGTAGCCTGCCGTACCGTTTATCTGCTCATTATGATTCATAAACATTGCCAGGGATATCTGGCACATAGGACATGGTCAAATCAAATAGCGCGAACTTCCTTGGCTTCATGTTACACTCTTCCGGCCCTTTTCACGAAATAGGATATCTTAAATGCACATCAATGAACTTATCACCTATCAATTTCTATTCATCAATTTAATAATTTGAACATCAAATAAATTATTTCACTGCATAACAACAAAATTGTTTAACAAAAAAAAAACAAAAGATAATGTACGATATTATTTTCCTATCTACTCGTAATACTGGTATACTAATTGCACATCAAATTACACAGAGCGCGCAAACGTAACACTCACACACAAAATAAGTGTATTTGCAACTCGTCTGGCCAGCGTGGTATATTGAGCCCATACCAATTTTAAAGGTTTAAGGTGACCTGCTAGAAACGTGCTGCTTTCAGAAAACTAGGTTAGTTTAGAACTGTGACCCCACAAGGAAACGGCTCGCTATTAGAAACGAGCTGCATCCAGAATAGTAGGTTAAGTTATAAAAAGTTCCGCTTTTCAAATAATAGCGATGCGTCACGAACTCGCCTATTTTGCTGGTGATCAGCTTCTTGATTAGGATTGGGAATTTTTTTATATATAAAAAAGGAATATTTTTTGATTTGCAGTTAAAAACTACCCTCCACAGATTGAAGGAAAGAACAGATAGGTATGACACATAAAATGTATCTATCTTTCTCTTTATTGCACAAGTTTTTTTTATTTCCTTTATAGATATCTCGAGGTAACGGAGAACCGATCGTTGTCAAAAAATCTGCGGTGCGCTCTATCAAGTTCGACCAAGACCCTGAACTTGAAGAGATGCGGGAGGAGAAGTCCACCTCCTTTTTACTGGTTAGTATACAAATAAAACTTATTAACCTATGACTTACTTACCTAAATTGGTTCATCAACGCAAAGCCTAAACCATTGGAGCTACAAACTTGAAATTTTGCCAGCTGATGCTTTTTATGTTGTAAGCATCCACTTAGTAAGGATTTTTGGATATTTCACCTTTAAGGGGTAGACTAAGGTATGAACGGTTATAAGGAAATTCGTCATTTTCAAAGTTAGAAATGCGAAATAAGAAATAATTAAAATCAGTAAATTAACAAAATGATATTTGAAAAATAAATACCTGAGTTTTCAATCGAACCAATATATACCCGTCTCCATCATCAGATCACCTCCAAAATTCGAAACTATTATCTTCTTAAGTAGATTAATGTAATATGCTCCTGAAATAAACCTTCAAAATTTACCCGATTAATTGTTCAGGGAACAATCTTTTATTATGTTTTTTTAATTATTTTGGATCGCCAACAAATTATACACATATCTACAATAAGTAAAAAAATATACAAAAACATGCCTCGTGCTCATGCAATTATAGGCAATCACAACTAACATATAACATAAAAAAAAAATATACAACCCTATATCACTTACTTTATTTCTAGCTTTTGACTGTTAATTCGTTTATATTTTTGTTTTTATTCGTGTTTGTCTTTTTAACTGATAGTTTAAAATATTTTACAGGGTGATTACAAATGGCAAACCTTGGCTTGTGGCAAGACTCAAGACCAACTGGACCTCACTAAGTTAGCGCACCAATATTTGAGAAAAACCGCTTTGAAACCTCGATCACTCAATTTCTTATAATTATGGACTTTTAGAATAAAAACTTTTCTGAGTGATATTTATATAGGATAAAGAGGATACACAGTTTTAATCACGGTTTTAGTTACTGCTTAAATGTGCCGTCTCTACCGGTGTCATACCACGGCCTCACAGAAAGGCCGGTACACTGAAGTTATTTTTCGTTACTTTTCACTGAGTGAGTTACGTTACCGGTGCCCCCAACCCCCCTCTCCTTCCCTCTATTCCCTTGCCTCTGTGGGGGATGACTCCAAGAGTGGCAATGCACTCTGTGACTCTTAAGTTGCAGGTGCCCATGGGCGGCGGTAGTCACTTACCATCAGGTGATCAGTCTGCACGTTTGCCCGCCCCCCGATACCATAAATAAAAAATATACAGGTTCTTTGTTTGGTCTGAAATTAATTGTTGAGCACCCATGAAATGCATACCTGATTAGAACCGTATATCGTATATAAATTATGTACCTACCTTGATTATAAATTATAATTACTGTCTTCTCTTAGTTATATAGGTTAGGTTATATGACTGGACTTTATTTAAGTAAACTGGACAGTTTTTAAATTTTGGATAAATCTTTGGGAACAAATACAATATCAACAGTTATAATAAGATACTAAAATGTAATAATTTTATGCATAACCTAAATTATTGATCTAAGTAACTCGACTTTATGTTCCTTCCCTTTTCTACATTTTATTTTGGGTTGGTTAAATTTCGAAAGGATTTTGGTTATTTTAATTTATGGGCATTTTCAGACGGGATTAAGGAAAAAGATAAAATTGGGTAAAAAAAAAACGAAGCAAGAGAACTTGTCAAAAGCTGTCAAGAAATTTTTTATAATCTGTTGAATTTTTTATTTGTCTATAACGCCTATGCCGCAATAGGTATGAGTTCAGAAAACTGCAAATAAGTTTTATTTACGCTTATTAAATTAGTAACTTTTAGTAAAAATACGTTTTAATTGTATAAAGTTATGTAAATAATACAACAAGTGTGATTCTAGTGTAAGCCTTATTATGTATGAATGATTTAGTTTTAGAATTTATATAAGGAGTGTAATATTTTATAGTATCTAAGTCTATTTATAGTTTATAATAAGGCCTTTTAGTTATTTAATATTTTTGCTATATTTTAATAAATTCACATTATGTCAATGTTAGATTTTTTAATCTATATTTTAAGTAGCGTTTTATGTGTGATGGCGAAATATCAACATTCATACTTTTTTAAAACAAGTTTTGTCAAATCATGCGTTTATAAGTATCTGTCGATAATTTAGTATTTCTATTTTTGAAAGTAAATTTTTAATGTGGTTTTTGTTTAATATTTTAATTGTAACTAAGATAAAAGAAGTACAAAATAGTATTAAGTTAACGTTAATAGATTATTCTCGGATTTATGTCAGGAAACCATACTCCTTGGTCCGTTTCAATTTTGAGACTCCAACATTCTACTCCTTCTGTACCATGTCAATTATTTAAGTATAAGGTGGAATCATAATTGCTGATTTGATTATAAACATATCGATGTCGATTCTGTTAATCACCTCACTAAACTGAAGTTAATCGAAGATTATCTTTTATTAAAAATATTTCAATATGCTTATTCGGTTTTACATCAAATTCAATTTAGTGTTGATTAACACACTTGAGGGTAGCACTAAATTTGATTCTGACAATGCTGACTTTAAAAAAAAAGTAAATGACTAAAAATAATCTGGCATAACTGAATTGGGTATTGTTTTTACTAACAAATGGTGTAATAATTACACAAACTAAAATATAAATAAGTTTTAATAATTTTCTAAATTATTTTAAACGCCATGTTTTTTCATAATTTGTGATTGTGCTCAAGACTTTTTTGTGTGCAATTGTAGCCCATATAGTAATTAATTATACCAACACGATTCACTGGAATTAACATGAACACAAAATCAAAACTGTTAATTACTACACATAGAATTAAACTTGGATAAATTGACAATAATTATTTATATAACGTTAAAAAGGTTATGGATTTAAATGTACCTTAAGTCTAAGGTACATAATCTATTATAATTATTCATTATCGCAGCTTAATAACTTTCATTCAGTAAAATGATACTTTTTTTCATATTTTAGTCTGATTACACAGTCTTAGGGCTAAGTTAAAATAGGATTTGTATAATTTTTAAATGTTAGAGGCAATATTTATGCGAATTATGTTGAAAAATATATGGTATGTTTTTATTGTGATGTCTATTCTTATTAATTTACACCTTTTTGCTTAGCATTTTTTAAAAATTTCATTTGTATCATAAGAAACTATTGAGACGCATTTATGTATAGACGCAAGCCATCGTATGGTTTAGCAACATGTAGTCTCCTACAGATGTAGGATCAGTCACAGTCTTTAGAAAAAAAGTTGCAAGGTTTTGAAAAGGAGATTAAACCCTTATTAACCTTTTTAGAAGCTTATACTTCTAAAAATGTTAATAAGGGTTTAAAAAGTTAGAGATTCCAATATGCTTAAACGACTTCAAAGAAAGGGGAAGTTTCTATTCAGCTGTATGTTTTTTATGTTTGTTATCTCAAAACTCCGTCATTTATGAATGGATTTAAAAAATCTTTTATTTTTGTGTTTATAACCCTCCGTTTAGTCCCATTCAAATTTAAAGAAATAGTGCCACCCGTAAGGGGTAAAATTAAGGAACGAAGAACTATTTATTACGAGACATGATGTAGGCACATTAAGTGATACGTTTATAATATGAAAGTTAATTATTTAGTTTTCTTCACGGATAAAAAAAAATGCGTTAGGTATAAAGCTTCCTTTGTATATTTAAAAAGAGAGGAGGGTTAAAAGATTCAGGTTGCATGCAGTTTTATAAACCCACAGCAGTCTTACGCTAAGCAGCTTCTCGGTCATTGGACGATGTGACTCGCTTTTTATAGTTAATTAAATAAAAAGAAAATAAGGTGTAACTTTAATATTTAATTTTGTGTGAAGAAAGTCTCTAGCGTAAGTGAATGCCATGTTTTATTTTATACAAAGACTTGTTTAAAATTGTTCTAGTGTGTAAATATAATGTAAGTAGGTTTATAGATGTTTCACTAATAAAGTAAATGGTTTAAAAGAAAAATTGGTGCGTTATTTGTTAATTTTCTTCTGACTGTTCTGAAGCTGTTTTAGGATCGGAACATGACATGACATAAAGATATTTTTTTCGTGGCATAGGAAGACAAACGAGCCTATCATAAGAAGATTGTTTTTTCGGTCACGAACGTTAATAAAACGAGAATATGGGAAATAAAATAGGTGCCTATTGGTTACAAATGTTAATAATCTAATCTGGTAACCTTATCTTTGTATTTTACAACTTTTATGTTAGGTATATATTTCTCTTTTTAACCAAACTAGGTTAGGGTCGGCTTTAAGTCCCCAACCATAACGTAATGGATGAAAAGACTTATCATATATCTGGACCTGTTCAAAATTCTCGGAGCACATCACTTTTTTGTCTGACTAATTTAAGTGTCTCATACCCTATAGAGGCTGCTGCACTGTAGATGATATGGTTATTATACTATATTATAGACAATATGTCTAGGCTATAGCTCAAAGGCTAATATAACTATATACATATCGCTTAATCTGTGGCTAATATCGATTACACTACAATAATATCAATTACGGACGAATAAAAGGAAACAAAATTCAGAGATGACGCTCTATATGTGTAATTGCTTACATTTTTGCTAGTGTCCGACCAAAACAGGGTTTTCAGCCGAAACCGAACTTTTGGTCCTTGCTTCAGTTTCGGCCGTAACCGAAATTCTATTTTTTTGTTTAAAAGTTCTATTGTATACTGAAATCTAGTGTATTTTTGAGCATTTGTCTGCATAAACCTATTTACAGATCGGGTTATATAAAAAAATGATGAAAATATGTAACAAATAAAAATAATAATTTACATCATTCACAGAACGCCTTCTAGTCCCAGCTAAGCAGAGCTTGTGATATAGGTACTAGACAACTGATATAAATACATATATACTTTTTTCTTTTGTAAATACATACATATTATTCATAGAAACACCCAGACCAAATAAACATCAAATGATAAAGCACACAAATGTCAGAGTTAAGTGGGAATCGAACCCGCGACCTTTGTCGCAGTAGTCCGATACACAAACCACTGCGACATTCGGCAGTTCATAAATATGATATTTTCTTTAAATTTCATAGAGAAATATATAAAAAAAAAACATGTAATTCGTATATATGGATGTTAAAATAAGAATGTATTGTTGGAAGTAAACTTAAAACTGGTATTTTACTAACACTTAGACATAATTAGACTTTCAATTGAATATTTTAATTATTGTGTTCACTTCACAATATTCTGAAGATTAACTATCTGAGTATATTTGTCCAGCAGCACTAAACAGCTGCTCACTTGGAACACTGGTAGGCGAAGCGGAAAGATACTTCAAAACTTTTCTCAACGTAGAGTATGGACTGCTTTCCAATAAGGATATATTTCCGCTTTTCGTTAAAATAATGGTTCCACAGACAGTTAATATTGAATTTTTCTTTCAAAATTGTCTTTGGATCATACACTCTCCTTTCCTTGGTGCATATTGCGAAATCGAACCGGTTGAAACTCTTTACCTAATAACGGCCATTAAGATTAAACAAGTGCAAATAAAACATTTAATTACCTAATTATTTTTCCTTAAAACACAAAAGATTGCACTAGACGGCGGTGAACTGAGCCAGAACCGATGTCTACGAGTCAGCCGCGAAGTTAGCAAAACGACGGACGACAACTCACAAACACTGACTTTCGGCGCGGCTAAAACCGAAACTCTCTAACTAATTTTTTTTCTAATCTTACATGTTAAGTGTGTAAAATAAAACTAATCTAAAATGCAATATAAACAATACGTTAGCACTGCTGGTTAGAACACAGGGCGCTATTTTTTGTTTTTAAAATTGAAAAATCGAGGGGAAGGACCAGA